TGATGAGAGAGAAACATCAATCAGCTGCCTCCTGCACACCCCACACTGGGAATGCGCCCAAAACCAAGGCACATGCCCCTGACCGGAACCAAACCTGGGACCCCTCAGTCGGCAGGCCGAGGCTCTATCCACTGAGCCAAACCGGTTTTCGGCAAGATCTTTTAACGTGTCTTTAACTGGTTTGAAGAGTGTGATGGTGCGTCATCATGAAGCAAAATTACTTTGCCGTGTCTTCTGGCCCATTCTGGTTATTTTATGATCAGAGCGTGGTTCAAATGGACCTGGACATTCTATGTCTTGCACATTGAAATCATCACTTTTTTTAAAAAAATATATTTTATTGATTTTTTACAGAGAGGAAGGGAGAGAGATAGAGAGTTAGAAACATCGATGAGAGAGAAACATCGATCAGCTGCCTCCTGCACACCTCCTACTGGGGATGTGCCTGCAACCCAGGTACACGCCCTTGACCGGAATCGAACCTGGGACCCTTCAGTCTGCAGGCTGATGCTCTATCCACTGAACCAAACCGATTAGGGCGCAATTCGACATTTTTAAGCGTAAAAATATCTATGATATTAACACTTTCAGAAAACTTGACGTACAAAGTTTTGAAGCTTGTTGTCAATACAACAAAATAGCCTACATATCAAAGCGCTAAAACTTCCTGCAAGTGCTCTTTTTTTGGCACGCAATTCGACATTTTTTCTTCTTTTTTTAAAAAATATGTTTTATTGAATTTTTACAGAGAGGAAGGGAGAGAGATAGTTAGAAACATCGATCAGTTGCCTCCTGCACACCTCCCACTGGGGATGTGCCCACAACCAAGGTACATGCCCTTGACCGGAATCGAACCTGGGACCCTTCAGTCTGCAGGCTGATGCTCTATCCACTGAACCAAACCAATTACGGCGCAATTCGACATTTTTAAGCGTAAAAATATCTATGATATTAACACTTTCAGAAAACTTGACATACGAAGTTTTGAAGCTTGTTGTCAATACAAAATAGCATACATATCAAATCACATATATATCAACAGATATCTAACTCCACCTATTGAAAAAAATCCGCATTATTAACCGGTGCCCCTGGTATTCTGTAACATTGACCAACACATGTGTTATGAGGTGCACATTCATGCTTAGGTAGTGTTTGACACCAGCTACTGGTGTATTGAATTTTGCTTGGAATACGACCTTACCAACCCCATGCACAGCTTACCCCCTTCACTGGCAGACAATCCCTGCTGAATGCTGTTAGCAGAAGGCTGAGCTGGAGGTCGGGCTTCTCTTCCATGTGGTCCTTGCCATTTATGGGTCATATTTCTGGTGAGGCCTTCCCTGTATTGTAAAATTCAAAGGCCCAGACTTCACAGCGGCCTCTTATTAATCCTTCCTGCACATCTCTTATTTTCAGCCAGGTGCATGGAACCCATGTATTATGTGCAAAACACTTGAGCAATGGCACTTCCCCCGTCACCACAGTCAACATCCAGTTCCACAACCTTTCTCTCTTTTCAGGTTGTTGGCATCAAACGGATGATGAGGAGGCCTGTTCTGAGCAGAGTGTATCTGAACAAGGGGAGTCACAGGTTGGTGCTTCTGAGACAGAGCCAGCAACCCAGAGGACCCATGTGTGTAAGCGCTGTGTGTCTGTGTTAAAAGACATTCTGCACGTGACTGAGTCACAGGCAGCAGACTTTGAGCAGAAAGCCCTCTTCATTGATGCGTGTGGAAGATACTTCTCTTTTAATGCAAACCCTCACCAGCAGCAGAAGGAAGCCAGTGGAGAGAAGCCCTGGAAAGAAGCTGTGGGTAGGGCCTTGTCTGTGACCAGGTGCAGCTTCTACTTATCAGAGGTGCCTTCAACGAGTAGGGAGCTTGGGGAAGACTTCCTAGCCATCTCAGAGCTTCTGCAGCACCAGGCCCCTCTTGACACAGAGGAGCCACACAGTGGCAGTGAGATTTCGCTGGAATTTCTCGGTGGAGAAAGTTATCACTATTGGGATAAATGTGAAAAATCTGCCAGCCATGACCAGAAGGTTGTTCAACATCAGGCTGTCTTTTCAGGAGAAAGTACGTATGAGTGTCACAAACGTGAGAAAATTTTTAGCCGTATCTTGAACCTCAATCGACAGAAAAGCATTTACGCCGAGGAAAGCCCGTATGAGGATAGTGATTGTGGGAAGCCCTTCAGTCAGAGCTCTAACCGCAGTCAACGCAAGAGGACTCACACTGGGGAGAAGCCTTTCGTGTGCAGTGATTGTGGGAAGGCCTTCAGTCAAAAGTGTGCCCTCATTCAGCACCACAGAATTCACACTGGGGAGAAACCTTTCGAATGCAGTGATTGTGGGATGGCCTTTCGACAAAAGTTTACCCTCATTCAACACTACCGAATTCATACGGGAGAGAAGCCGTACAAGTGTACTGTTTGTGGAAAGTCCTTCAGTCAAAGCTCTTACCTCAGCCTGCACAAGAGAACGCACACCGGTGAGAAGCCTTTTGTGTGTAGCTGTTGTGGGAAGTCCTTTAGTCAAAAGTGTACCCTCATTCAGCACCACCGAATTCACACTGGGGAGAAGCCTTACGAGTGTCATGAATGTGGGAAATCTTTTCGGAGCAATAGTCACCTCTATTACCACAAGAGAGCGCACACCGGAGAAAAGCCATATAAGTGTAGTGAGTGTGGGAAGTCCTTCATGCTCATCTCCACTCTGACGGAGCACCAGAGAATTCACTCCGGAGAAAAGCCATATCAGTGCGGTAACTGTAGGAAGTCCTTCAGCCGGAGATCGAAGCTCATGGGCCACCTCAGAATTCACACTGGAGAAAAGCCGTATGAGTGCAGTGAGTGTGGGGAATGTTTCCGGTGGAAGCCGAGCCTGGATAGACATCTAAGAGTCCACACTGGAGAAAAGCCTTAAATGTACATGGGGATGTTTTCATCTTTCTCACACTACAACACGGAAGGAGACTCAGACCTGTGAGCCTGAGTATACACTCCTTTTATGGGTACGTACACTCTTCTCGCTTCCTCACAAATCTGAGGTACAAGTGAGGCCTGAAGGAGTTGCATTGCACTTGCCAATGTGCCAAGATCTCCTACCCGATAGATGTCACTGCGAGTGTTTGTGGCTGAAACGACCTCACCCGAACAGTGTGCGTCCGTCACCACCCCTGGTGCTCAGGGGAAAGGGATTCTGTGTCCTCATTTCTGCTTGAGGAAATTATGATTGCTCCAAGTTCTTGGCAGGATCGTCATTCCTTACTCTCTGACTAGGGAATGGACCCAACCCCAGGGTTCATCCAGAGCCCCCCCCGTCCTCAGCTAAGAAGAGCCACTTCTCTCAGGGACATGGTGGGTCTCACCTTTTGTTGTCACGAATTGTTTCAGCTTTTCATTCACCAACCTGCACACTGCTTGCTGCACACGGCTCTGGTTTGTGATGTTATGGTAACGGTGTTTTTGCTTTGGTACCTTTAATTTTGTGGGTTCTCTTCACTGCCTGGGGTGATTTGCAAGCACAGTGGTGACCTGTCGGCATGGAGAGTTAACAGATACGGTGGGGGTCCCGAACTGTCTGTGCTTCGGAAGGGACAGCAGAGTGGCAGAAAATCACTGTTTGTCTAATATTGACTTAGTTTGCATTACTGCCCAAGGCCTGGAAATAAAGACCACGTGACTTTGTGGTTCTGTTTTGCAGGTTTGGTCCTTGGCTCCCAATTGTGACTAGTTTAGGAGACATCCAGTCATTGTCTCTCTCTCTCTCTCTCTATCTTTCTGCCCCCTCCCTTACACTCTCCCTTAAGAATTAAAAGAGCTCTGGCTGGTTTGGCTCAGTGGATAAAAGTCTGTGGACTGGAGGGTCCCGGTTTCGATTGCGGTCAAGGGCACATGCCCGGGTTGTGGGCTCAGTCCCCAATGGGGGCAGTGCAGAAGGCAGCCGATAGGTGATTCTCTCTCATCGTTGATGTTTCTCTCTCCCTCTTCCTTCTCTGAAACCAATAAAAACGTATATGAACAATTTTTTTTTAAAAGACCATTCACTCTAGTTCACGGAGATGTGGCCTCTGCCTGCACAACCACCTTTCCTCACTCTCCCGCCTTTGCCTGGCAGGTTCCCCCTGCACCTGGGAACACTGTTTTTCTCAAGGACATGGCAGCAAGGATCCCTAGGCAGGCCCCTGGGAGGGATTGGGGTTCTGTGTCTGCCTGAGAGGAGCTGACCAGGGCTCTCTGTCTCCATGCAGAGGTCTCTCCAGCCTGCTGTTCCTCATCCCCAGGTCCCTGGCCCGCTGCAACTTCTGTATCCAGGAGGAGCCCTCAAGTGCGTTGAGCCCTCAAATCAGTTCACCTTTGGAAAGTCCTGCCTTCGACCAGCCCACATACACACATGAGGCCCACTGGTGTTGAGTCTCTGTTTTTTCACTTTGGGGGTAATTTTCTACTTGAATTTTATTAAAAATAAATCCCCCTCAGCACCAGCACCTCCCAGGCAGTCCTGGAGGTAGCTTGGACCCTCCAGGAAATGGTGCTGTGTATTTGCAATGCCAAGAACATTGTGCAGTACAAGTGCTTCCAGGAGGAGAGTCTTGAACTCAATATGATGTCACATTGAGGGGGTACATTGTTGTTGTCTCTCTCCCTAAATTGGGCCTGTACAGGTAGACCCCTTCCCCTGTAGTAAGGTGAGGGACCCTGGACTTGGGGTATTAGTGTGCTGCTAGGGTGTGTGGTGGAGTGGGCAACAAGGGTGGCGGCCCTGGACAGGGTTGGTAGGGGTGTTTCCTGTCAGCACATGGGGCAGGTCCGTGAGTGGGAGGGCTGAGGGGAGGTGCTAGTGATGAGAACTTGAATCAGGCTGGTGGAGGGGCCACAGCCAAGGGCGGGCACAGCTGAGGCCTGTAAGGACCGAGGGTGTGGACTCTGTTGGGCTGGACTGTTCCAGGCTCTGGAAGTACAGAGTCCCCTGCCCGTGGGAACTGGTGTTCTTGTGGAGGGAAGCCCCCAAAGACTGGGCCAGGATAGCGAGGGCAGGTGACAGGAGCTCAGGGAGGAGGAGAAGCCTGGGGTGGTCAGTGAAGGGCTGGTGTGTGGTACCTTCAGCAAAATCATTGACCAGAAAAAAAGAAAAAAATCAATGCCTGAGGGACATTTACATTATTAAATGCAAATAAACAGTCCAGTGGTTTAAAACTCTTTGCTTATCTGTATGTATATATAAAAGCCTAAGTGACCATTGCAGCTGAACAGACAACCAAACAGGCTATGTGGGGTGACCAGGCCAGCAGGGGGTTTAATGAGGGGGTGACCAAATGACTGAGCAGCAGGCTGCGTGGGGAACCAGGCCAGCAGGCGGGGAAGTAATGGACAACCAGGCCATCAGGGGGAGAGGGGGGCAGTTAGGGGTGATCAGGCAGGCAGGTGAGCAGTTAGGAGTCAGTGGTCCCAGATTGTGAGATGTTTCGACTGCTGGTTTAGACCCAGGATTGGGCCTAAACTGGCAGTCGGACATCCCCCAAGGGGTCCCAGATTAGAGAGGGTGTAGGCTGGGCCAAGGGGACCCCTGCTCCGTGCAAGAATTCCATGCACTGGGCCTCTAGTTTATGGTTGTTTTTTTTAATTAAATCTTTATTGTTCAGATTATTATATTTGTTCCTCTTTTTTCCCTCCATAACTCCCCTCCTCCCAGTTCCCACCTCACACTCCACCCTCACTCCCCACCCACTGTCCTCATCCATAGGTGCATGATTTTTGTCCAGTCTCTT